CTACTGGGGCCTGGACCAGAGATCAGGTCTAGCCTGGGAGTTCCTCCAGACCTGCCGGCGGAGCCAAGCTGGGAACCCGCTGCCCTTTCTTCACCAAGCCAAGGCTGTATGCTGGTCATTGTGGGGGAGGTAGAGGCACCCTATCGGCCAGGTGGGGATGCTGTAAGCCATACCCCTTTCCCTACAGGCCTGGCTACAGCAGTATGGCTACCTGCCTCCCGGGGACCTACGTACCCACACACAGCGCTCACCCCAGTCACTGTCAGCGGCCATCGCTGCCATGCAGAAGTTTTACGGCTTGCAAGTAACAGGCAAAGCTGATGCAGACACCATGAAGTAAGTGCTAGACCCTGGCAGGAGTTCTGCCTAGCACCCACTGACAATGCCAGCGCCAGAGATGTTCCTACCTGAATGCCTGGCTTGTGCTTCCCCATACCTCATCCCCACGTGCTGATCCTGACCCTCTCATGTTCACCCTGACCTCATAACCTTGGCCTTTCCCCACATTGACACACAGCAAGTCTCACCTAACACTAACGCTGGAGACCTTTCTCTTTCATACATTGCACTGACCCCAATCCTCACACCCAAACCCACTCCAGGGCCATGAGGCGCCCCCGATGTGGTGTTCCAGACAAGTTTGGGGCTGAGATCAAGGCCAATGTTCGAAGGAAGCGCTATGCCATCCAGGGTCTCAAATGGCAATATAATGAAATCACTTTCTGGTGAGTCCAGCAGGCAAGCAACCTTTCTCACATCTTGTAATTATTCCCTACCCACTGTGCTTATGCAGAGACTCAGAGACCTCCTGCCCTACTCCCCTCAGTTCCTGGGAAGCATCCCTGGGAGTGGGGAGGAAAATGGCTCTCATCCTGGAAAGAGGTGTAGCCATCAAGGGTGTACCCCAGTGCCAGAGAGCCAAAGCCTGAGGATCCCTTGTTCTTGAGACAGAGGCATTGTGCATGAGGTAGCAGGAAGAGTTGAGTCAGGCAGAGGTGGCTGGGCAGCACAGTCAGACCTGGGAGAGTGCAGGGAAGGAGAATGTTGCCCCTCGTTATCCTAACACACCCCATCCTCTCCCCACGTGGCTGGACCTCAGCATCCAGAATTACACCCCCAAGGTGGGCGAGTATGCCACATACGAGGCCATTCGCAAGGCATTCCGCGTGTGGGAGAGTGCCACACCACTGCGCTTCCGCGAGGTGCCTTATGCCTACATCCGTGAGGGCCATGAGAAGCAGGCCGACATCATGATCTTCTTTGCCGAGGGCTTCCATGGTGACAGCACGCCCTTCGATGGTGAGGGCGGCTTCCTGGCCCATGCCTACTTCCCAGGCCCCAACATTGGAGGGGACACCCACTTTGACTCTGCCGAGCCTTGGACTGTCGGGAATGAGGATCTGAATGGTGAGCCAAGTATCCCTGGGACTTACTCTGGAAAAAGCCAACAGTCATTTGTAGGGGTGGTTCCCCTCCCTCCTTCCAAAATCTCGGGGCTAGAAGGGACCACAAAGACCTTCTGGTCTAACTGCTGACAAAAGCAGGAGTTCTGTTTGAGCTATTTACATCTGGTCCCTCCTCTCACCCACTGACTGGCTTTCCAGTCAAAGACTTCAAAGCATCCTTATCGCCCATTTTTCCAAATTGATGTCATGTCTAGCTCCTGGGAGAAGCGGGACTAGAGAGGGCCTTGGCTTCCCTTAACACAGGTCTTTCTGGGATGGGGGTCCTGCTTCCAAGCACTGTCTCACCTCCACCCAGAGGAGCTTATTGACTGGCTTGTGCTTAAATGCCAGATAAAAAGCTGGACCTCAGAATTTGGTCACTTTGGATTGAAAACATGGGCAGCAGGCTTGGGGGTGAAACCAAAGCTGCTGGTGGGGAAGCAGGGAGGCTGAGGGAAGGGACTCAGGCTGCTATCATCACTGTCCCCATCTCTCCAGGAAATGACATCTTCCTGGTGGCTGTGCACGAGCTGGGCCATGCCCTGGGGCTCGAGCATTCCAGTGACCCCTCGGCCATCATGGCACCATTTTACCAGTGGATGGACACAGAGAACTTTGTGCTGCCTGATGATGACCGCCGGGGCATCCAGCAACTTTATGGTGAGTAATCTACACCCACGCCTGCTCCCTCCTCTGCTCCTTGTCCCCTCCTGGTCTACGCATTTCCCCTGTTTCATGCCGTGCAGTGTCTGCACCGCCTCCTGCCAACCCGACATTGCCTCTATCAGCTCCACTTTTGAGCCCACCTTTTCTGTCGCCTCCCAGTTGGTTGCTTCAGCCTCCCCTAGAAGCCCATCCACACCTTTCCAAGGGTACTGTCTGCCCATCTGTCTGTCCTTCCCTCCCCTCTCTCCTCCTAAGTCTGAAATGCCCCTCGTGTTTTCTGCCGCAGGGAGTGAGTCAGGGTTCCCCACCAAGATGCCCCCTCAACCCAGGACTACCTCCCGGCCTTCTGTTCCTGATAAGCCCAAAAACCCCACCTACGGGCCCAACATCTGTGATGGGAACTTTGACACCGTGGCCATGCTCCGAGGGGAGATGTTTGTCTTCAAGGTGAGAAGAAGAGGTGGGCTGGTTTGGAAGACAAAAGGGTTCTATGGGCCGGGCGTGGTGGCTCATGCCTGTAATCCTAGCACTTTGAGAGGCCAAGGCAGGCGGATCTCCTGAGGTCGGGAGTTCGAGACCAGGCTGGTCAACATAGTGAAACCCCATCTCTACTAAAACTACAAAAAATTTGCTGAGTGTGGTGGTGGGTGCCTGTAATCCCAGCTACTTGGGAGGCTAAGGCAGGAGAATCGTGCGAACCTGGGAGGCAGAGGTTGCAAAGAGCCAAGATAGGGCCATTGCACTCCAGCCTGGACAACAGTGTGAGACTCCATCTCAAAAGAAAAGGAGGGGGGCTCTGTGGTAGGGCAGCTGGGTGGAAGTGACAACAGCTGGACTGAAAACTAAAATTGAGGAACAAAAAGCAGTAGGGGAGCTTTGGGGACTGAGCCAGAGATCTAGGCCGCAAGACATAATGGACTCTTCCTGCATTGACTGACTTCCAGGAGCGCTGGTTCTGGCGGGTGAGGAACAACCAAGTGATGGATGGATACCCAATGCCCATTGGCCAGTTCTGGCGGGGCCTGCCTGCGTCCATCAACACTGCCTATGAGAGGAAGGATGGCAAATTTGTCTTCTTCAAAGGTAACCAGGCACTCCACTTTAGTCTTTGGGAGTGAGGAAGGTCTCCCTAGAGGAGCTGATTTCCTCTAAAGTCCCTAGTGCCTACGTTGAACCCAGATGCTGCCCTCCTGTCCTCCCCAGGAGACAAGCATTGGGTGTTTGATGAGGCGTCCCTGGAACCTGGCTACCCCAAGCACATTAAGGAGCTGGGCCGAGGGCTGCCTACCGACAAGATTGATGCTGCTCTCTTCTGGATGCCCAATGGAAAGACCTACTTCTTTCGTGGAAACAAGTAAGACCTCAACCCCTTAACCCCAGGCCTTCCTCAGAAACCACCACCACCCCAAATTCCCTCAGTTCTGGAGAAAGACGCGCTTTACCCCCAAGCTGCTTCCTCGGAGAAGGAGCTGGCTGAGCCTCTGCTGTTGCCTAGAAATGGGCAGCCTCCTTTGGCACCTCGTGAGTGGGATGTGACCGGGTCATTTCAGACCTGGTCATTTGGCACCTCCTGCCCCCAGCACTGTGCCTCCGCCCCAGCAGCCAGGCACTGTCATTAGGGCTGCTAGTGGCTCCTTGCAGCCTGGACCCTCCCTTCCACCCCCACCTTCCGCTACTTTCAGCAGCAGGCCCTCATTACTCAAAACCCCTGTCCCCACCCTGTCCGCAGCTATCCTTTGCCCACTGGTGGATTCGATCTGGGTCTTGCTGCCCTCTGAGGACATGCCCAGTGTCTGCCACTGCCCTTCCTTTCCCCTTCCCCAGGTACTACCGTTTCAACGAGGAGCTCAGGGCAGTGGATAGCGAGTACCCCAAGAACATCAAAGTCTGGGAAGGGATCCCTGAGTCTCCCAGAGGGTCATTCATGGGCAGCGATGAAGGTGAGAGGGGCAAGGGAAGGTGTCGCTGAGAGAAGGATGGGAATAGGGAGTTGAGGAAGAGTGGGAGGGAAGCCTGAGGGAGTGCTGTGTGGAAAACAATGGCGATGATAATACCACACACCGGGTGCTGGGCTAGGTGCTTCCACACGTGGTACCCATTCATCCCCACCACCTTCCAACCCGGTCCTATAGGCACCCCCATTTTACAGCTGAGGAAGCTGATGCTCAGGAAGGTGGAGGGGAGCTCAGCTGCCCTCACATTAACAGAGCTTCCCTCGCTCCTCTCCTCTCTTTGGGTCTTCCCTTCCTTACCACCTTCTGATTCACCCCCTGCAGTCTTCACTTACTTCTACAAGGGGAACAAATACTGGAAATTCAACAACCAGAAGCTGAAGGTAGAACCGGGCTACCCCAAGTCAGCCCTGCGGGACTGGATGGGCTGCCCATCGGGAGGCCGGCCGGATGAGGGGACTGAGGAGGAGACGGAGGTGATCATCATTGAGGTGGACGAGGAGGGCGGCGGGGCGGTGAGCGCGGCTGCCGTGGTACTGCCCGTGCTGCTGCTGCTCCTGGTGCTGGCGGTGGGCCTTGCAGTCTTCTTCTTCAGACGCCATGGGACCCCCAGGCGACTGCTCTACTGCCAGCGTTCCCTGCTGGACAAGGTCTGACGCCCACCGCCGGCCCGCCCACTCCTACCACAAGGACTTGGCCTCTGAAGGCCGGTGGCAGCAGCTGGTGGTGGGTGGGCTGCCCCCACCGTCCCGAGCCCCCTCCCCGCAGCCTCCTTGCTTCTCTTTGTCCCCTGGCTGGCCTCCCTCACCCTGACCACCTCCCTCCCTGCTGCCCCGGCATTGCATCTTCCCTAGATGGCTCCCCTGAGGGCTGACTGGGAGGGTGGCCCTTTCCAGCCTCTGCCCCTCAGCGGAACCCTGTAGTTTTGTGTCTGTCCAGCCCCATCTGAATGTGTTGGGGGCTCTGCACTTGAAGGCAGGACCCTCAGACCTCGCTGGTAAAGGTCAAATGGGGTCATCTGCTCCTTTTCCATCCCCTGACATACCTTAACCTCTGAACTCTGACCTCAGGAGGCTCTGGGCACTCCAGCCCTGAAAGCCCCAGGTGTACCCAATTGGCAGCCTCTCACTACTCTTTCTGGCTAAAAGGAATCTAATCTTGTTGGGGGTAGAGACCCTGAGACAGTGTGCGGGGGTGGGGACTGCCCAGCCACCCTAAGACCTTGGGAGGAAAACTCAGAGAGGGTCTTCCTTGCTTAGTCAGTCAAGTTTCTCGGAGATCTGCCTCTGCCTCACCTACCCCAGGGAACTTCCAAGGAAGGAGCCTGAGCCGTTGGGGACTAAAGGGACAGAAGAAACCCTTAGCAGCCCTATGCCTCTCGAATGTTAGCCTTGGATGGGGCTTTCACAGTTAGAAAAGCTGAAACCAGGGGTGCAGCTGTCAGGTAGAGTGGGGCCAGCGGGAGAGGCCCGGGTCAGAGCCCTGGGGGTGAGCCTGAAGGCCACAGAGAAAGAACCTTGCCCAAACTCAGGCAGCTGGGGCTGAGGCCCGAAGGCAGAGCAGCCAGAGAGGGCAGGATGGGCCCAAAACGGAAAATGAGGAGTGCAGCAGCATTGGAAGGCTGGGGCCGGGCAGGCCAAGCCAAGCAGGGGCCACAGGGTGGGCTGTGGAGCTCTCAGGAAGGGCCCTGAGGAAGGCACACTTGCTCCTTCTCGTCCCTGTCCTTGCTGCCCAGGCAGCATGGAGGGGAAGGGTGGGGCAGCCCAGAGAAAGGAGCAGAGAAGGGACACAAACGAGGAATGAGGGGCTTCATGAGAGGCCACAGGGCCTGGCTGGCTGCGCTGTCCCGGCCTGCTCACCACCTCAGTGAGGGGCAGGAGCTGGGGCTCGCTTAGGCTGGGCCCGCGCTTCCCTGGTGCCAGCACCCCTCAAGCCTGTCTCACCAGTGGCCTGCCCTCTCACAGCCCCACCCACCCAGCCCACCCATTGAAGTCTCCTTGGGCCACCAAAGGTGGTGGCCATGGTACCGGGGACTTGGGAGAGTGAGACCCAGTGGAGGGAGCAAAAGGAGAGGGATGTCAGGGGGGGTGGGGCACAGGGTGGGGGAAATGGGGTGAACGGTGCTGGCAGTTCAGCTAGATTTCTGTCTTGTTCGTTTTTTTGTTTTGTTTAATGTATATTTTTATTATAATTATTATATATGAATTCCATTCAAATCGTTTCTTTTTGTTAACAATGGGCATGGGGAGGGGTGGGGGTGGGGGGGCAGAGGCGTCTGACCCCAGGAACCTGCAGGGCGGGGCTGGGTCGGTGCCCTCTAAGGACAATTTTGACCTTGTTCAACCTTTCCACAAAGAATAAATTGTGTTTCACATTCCTTGTGTGGCTGAGCTCTGTAGAGGGTGATGGGCTGTGGGTGAAAGGAGCTGGATGAGGCGAGGGCACGCGTCATGAGCAGCGTTTTCCATGAGGTGGGGCTTTGGCATTTTTCATAAAGTAGTATGTTTATTCTTAGTGGACTAAAGGGATTCAGGGGCCAGAGTTGGGGAGCAGGGCATACCCATAGGGGGCAGTGGGGTGACTGACAGAGCTCAGCTGCTCTCCCACCACCTGGCTTAAAAGGCTGCCTTGAGCCCCAAGGCTCAGAGACAAGAGGAAGTGGTCAAGCTGAGGCCACTTGGAAAATCTTCCTAAATTGCATTACCCTGTCCCGTGACCCACCCGCAGACCCTCCGTTTCCTCATGCGTCTCTTCCAGAGGCAGGGGGAGTCCCATGATCATATTCAGCCTTGGGCTCACTGGCATGTCCTTCCGAGCCCTCAGGACCTAAGAAGTCTCTTCCAGGCCTGGGGCTCTGCTGCTGAGACAGAAGGAAACAAGGGAGAAAGAGAGATAGGTGTTGCTGCTGGGCCTATTAGGAGCAGCCTGTCTCTGGCCAAACAGAGATCTCATCCTAATTGTCCGGAAGAACCAGGATGGTCAGGTTGGAAGGGCAGAATAACAAGGCTTTGCTTCCTCTTTCCTTAGAAACTCCTGCCCTAGACAGGGTTCCCAGGCTATCCACCCACCCTTCCTCTGAAACCAGCCTGGAGGGAGGAATCAGCCCAGTGCTGAGTCAGCTCAGCTGGAGGAGAGCAGCCCCTTTTTTCACCCCCCTTCCCTTCCTGCCTCCACCCAGCCCACCCTGGGCTCCAGCCCAGACTCCCTCCACCGCCTGCCTTGCAGAGTCCTGGCCCCATCATGCCAGTCAGTCTATCCAGTTGCTATTCAGGGCTGGTTAGTGTGATTGCTTTGGCAGAAGGGGTACCCCACCTTCCTGTCTGCCAGGAACCCTGACCCTACGCTTGGCCTCCTGCACCTCCCCTGCCAACAGCTGTTTGGCAGAGTCTGTGTGTCTCGGTGGAATTGGACACCACCTCCGAACCACCCTTACCAGAGGGGATGGGGACCTTGACAAGGTGGCAGGGGAAGTCAGGGGCATCTGAGGGTGGTAGGGTCTGTGCGGGTGGCAAGGAACTCAAAGATGAGCTCATGGCCCCTTTGTGTTTTTGTGGTCCACATCTGGAGGCAATTACAGATGTTATCCAGTGGGAGTTTTGCAAAACACAGCTGGAGCCAGTGGAGGAGCCTGGGGAGGGGGGACTGCCAGAGAGAAGAGGAGGGGGAGCCTAGGGCTCCCGCGCTGGAGTGCGGTTTCCCCATCACGAGGAAATTGTTTGGCCCTGATTCTGGAATCACAAGATGCTCTCTGGAGCCAAGGGGGAGAGATGGGAATGGAGGACCAGAGACAAAGGGGGAAGAGGTAGAAGATGGGCTTATAAAACCCCCCACTGCTAAATTTGACTGGTTTTAAAAAAACAAAAAACAAAAATTAAAACAAGCAGAGAGAATTTCAGGGTGGAGACGCAGGGTCCCGTGCTTCTGACGTGCCTGGGCCTGCCTGATCCACCCCAGTGAGGCTGCCCGGGGACCCTGGGAGGTGCCTTAGTGATCACAAGGTCCCACTGAGTGAACCTCCAGGTCAGGCTGGGGTGAGGGGAGAGCAGAGGGCCCTGTGGCTTCCAAAAGACCTGCAAACTCTGCTTTCACTGGCCCTACCCCGATTTGTCCGTTGGGCCTGACCCAGTTTCTATGGTTCCAAGTTCCTTTATTCGAAAGCAGCACATGTGAGTTGGAGCAGCCAGGAGGGAGCCAAGGGGAATCTTCAAGGAGGTTTGGGCAGAACCCAGGAAAGTTGGTGCTAAGGAGACGCTGGACTGGGGGCAAGGGCTGAAGAGGAGCAGCACTCTGCCCACGACTGCACCCCACACATTTGGAGGGGGGCCACGGACTCCCTTGTCATCACCTCCCTTTCTCCAGGGCTCCTGGCACCAGCTGGGCCCATGACTGCAGGGCTGCCAGCCAGGCTCTGGGTCAGCGGGAAGGGAAGGGAAGATCTAAGAGGAGCTGGGTCCTCTAGAGGAGGGAGGACTGGGCAGAGAGACACCCCCACATGCCTCCAGACCCCCAAACACAATCTGGCTAGCTCTGCTGGTCCTTCACTGTCCCTCCCCCAGGGCCCCTTCTCCCCACTATCTGACAGATTTTCCAGTGGTCTCTTTCCCCTCTGTATCCCTCCTTCCCTTCCAGCAATGGTGAAACTAACATTTGCTGAGCTCCTTACAACACACAATGACACAGGCACTAATATTGTCCCCATTTTACAAATAAGGGAACTGAGACCCAGAAAGATAAATGACTTGATCAAGGTCACAGGTTGTTAGTCCAAATTTAAAACCCAGATCTTTCCAATTTACTTACTTATTTTTCTATACTGGCAGATCCTGGCAATCTCTTGGTGTCTCTTCCAGCATGGACCCTGGGTAGCTGGGCGTCTTCACGGCAGTGTGTGTTCTGGGGATCTGTCAACACATATATATTTGCTTATTGTGTTTTTTTTTGTTGTTGTTGTTTTGAGATGGAGTTTCACTCTTGTTGCCCAGGCTGGAGTGCAATGGCGCAATCTCGGCTCACTGCAACCTCTGCCTCCCAGGTTCAAGTGATTCTCCTGCCTCAGCCTCCCAAGTAGCTGGGATTACAGGCATGCACCACCACACCCAGCTCATTTTGTATTTTTAGTAGAGACGGGGTTTCTCCATGTTGGTCAGGCTGGTCTCAAACTCCCAACCTCAGGCCGCCCACCTCGGCCTCCCAAAGTGTGGGAATTACAGGCGTGAGCCACCATGCCCAGCTGTATTTGCTTCTTGTGCAGCAATATTATGGGGGGTAGGAGTGCAGAGGGAAAAGGACCCCACTTTGCCAGCCCATTGCCTCCCTTCTTGAGAGAAGGAAGGTGGCACCAAGACTCAGAAGCCAAAGGGATGGAATGAGACAATGGCAGCAGCTAAGGGAAGGGTGGGATTGGTGAATGTTTGTGTGCGAGGACATCGGGGGGAGGGCGGAGGGCTTCATCGGTGGTACCCATTCCCAAAGGCCCCAAGGAAACCCCAGCCAAGACCGCTCCATCGTCCTGGGGTTCCTGTACCCGTTTCCTACCTATCAACCCAAATCTGAACACACCTCTTTTAAAAGCTCAAGTCTGCACACCTAGCCCCAGCCTTGGGGGTTTCTGCCCTCCTCGCTCAGTCTTGTGAAAGTAGGGAGACCGGAGGCCGCCTGCAAGGGGCTGGGCAGCCAGGGCCTGGAAGCGAGGCAGGCCTGACTGGCCAGAAGCCACCTTCCAAATGAGCTCACACACATATTTTCCACCCTGGCCCAGGGCCGATGGCTCAGCTTCTTCCAGGCCAGCCTTCCCCAGCCAGGCCCAGCCCCCTCTGTCCTACCCTGCCACCAGTCCTGGCCCTAGGGGCTCCAAAGCAAGATCACTGGCAGCCCTCTGGCCAGGGCAGTCACTGGCATCCCCAAGGAGCAGCTTCCTCTGCCTCCATGCTGAGGCCATTTGCCCCCAGAGTCCCTTATTCCTTTGTGACTTAGAGAAGAAGGAGACCAGCTCCCTGCCTCCAAAGACCCACACCTGGGTAGGGAGGGATGGTAGAGGTGACAGAAGAGGCAGTGGAAGTAGTGAATGGGCGGAAGGGCTTCCTTTGAGTGCCCGAAGTAGCTCATTGACTCAGGGACCAGCCAGTTCTGGGAGCTGCCTCATCACGGGTTACATCCTGCTCACTCACTCAATTTCCTGCTAGGGGCACTTCCCTGACTTGGAGCAGGATGGGGTCTGGGTGAGGCAAGGCCAGGCTGACCACAAAGCTGAGAAAAAAGACTGGCGTGTCAGAAAGCCGAGTGGATTCATACACATGCAACAGGCTCCATTTCACTTTGGTTTGTCAAAGACATCACTCATTGCCCAGCTTCCAGACATGTAGCACCAGGCCAGAGAGCAGGATCAATTCCCCAAAACGCTCTCTCACCTGCTCAGCACCTCACTCTGTGCTAGGAGTATGGCTGCCCTGACTGTATTTACTGGATCCAGTTATGTCTCCTGGAGTTCTGTGAGTTAGTATATTCAGACATGGTAGACAATTCTTCCCATTCTGGAGTCCAAGGTGATGGCCACTGTGAGTAGATCACACCATGTTGCTCTCTTATACCAGGTGATGGTATAGTTCTGTCAAGGAATTACTATAATTCATAATACCAACCCTATCACAGCCACTGGAAAACAGGTTCTAGCCTCACTTTTCTTACAAAAGGGTAAAATAGTGCGAGACACACAGGAGGCACTCAATAAAAGTTTGTTGAATTACCAGTGGTAGTTGTGATTACATAAATATTGTATACATATGTACATATTATGAACACATAAGTAGTGAATATGTAACTCAAATCATTGAGCTGAACACTTAAACTTAGTGCACTTTGTGAACTTCATGGTGTATACACACACACACACACACACCTGTCGCCCATGCTGGAGTGCAATGGTGCAATCTCGGCTCACTGCAACCTCCGCCTCCCGGGTTCAAACGATTCTCCTGTCTCAGCCTCCCAAGTAGCTGGGATTACAGGCGCCTGCCACCACGCCCAGCTAATTTTTTTTTTTTTTGTATTTTTAGTAGAAACGGGTTTTCACCACGTTGGCCAGGCAGGTCTCAAACTCCTGATCTCTTGATCCACCTGCCTCAGTCTCCCAAAGTGCTGGGATTACAGGCATGGGCCACCGTGCCTGACCTTTCATGGTGTATTTTACCTTACTTATTTATTTTTTTTAGATTAGGCAAGTACAGTAGTGAGAAGGGGGATAAGAACAGAACAGGGAGTTTGATCTGTAACTGACTGTGAGCAATCAGTTGAGATAACATATTATCTTCAGATCAACCATTACCTCAATCTTTAAAAGGTTTTTAAAAAGAAAAACATATTGAAGTAAAGAGGTTCATACCCCCAGAACTCCTACTTTGTCCTTGTCGTCCCCATTCCCTCCCGCTTAGGTGTCAACTCTCCACTTCCTGCCTGCCCTTAATCTGGGAGTGGTTGGTATCAGGTTGTGTTGACCCAGCTCTTCTGGAAATACCCAGCCTTCGGGCTGCACTCTCAGCCCAGCCCACACCTAGACTCTGACCTGGAGGGCCCAGCCAGGAGGCCTCTCTTCCCTATATCCCTCTAAGCTCTATGTCAGATTCCCCAGACTCTCCTCCGCTTTGCTGGCCTGTGCTCCAGAGGTCTCCCCACCTCATCCCTGCACAAGATTGCATGTAGGTTCTGAGTGGAGGAAAGCTGGGTAAGGGACTTAGAGGAACACATCCCACTCTTTATGGCTGTGCCCACTCCACGTAGACCTGCGGGGCAGGGTTTGCAGGGTGGTAGCGCCCCCTTGTGCTGGGTGTTGGGACTGCAAACAGAACCCAGGGAATTGAGACGGGGAGGCAAAGCTAGTCCCACCAGGGCCGCGGGTACTACCAGCCTCTCCCTTCCCCTGTTCCACTTTCTATGTCTCCACCCTGGACACCTGTACTTAAAGGGGTGGGACTCTGGGCGAGACGGGCAGACAAGCCGCTCTTAGCTTTCCAGCTGCAGAGGGAAACGTCAGAGTTTCCGTCTGCCGTCCCTGTGTGGAGGTTGGTGGGCAGCCCTCACCAACTCCAGGAAAGGAGAGGGAGTCGGGGGTGGTGGGTGGTACAGGACAGATGATCCGCGGGGGGAGGAAGGTTGGCACTTCTGTGCCCTCTCCTTGGAGCGCCTCCGAGTTGTCACACTGCCCCCCTGTGGGCGCCTCAGACACGAATCACTCCAGGATGCCTGTCCCCGGGCTCCCAGGGTAAGAGTCCAGGTGAGACTCTGCACTCCCGGCCTGCAGAATGCTATCACAGAACTCCCTCTGACCAAGACAAGCAGGGCTCTGTGTCCCCTTTATCTAAGAGTGCGACATTTCTGTGCCAATTCCCTGAGGCTTTGGATGTAACACCCACGCCTCTTGAGGGAACTCTAACCTGGACCCATGCCCCTGTCCTCATCCCCACCCTGGGGCCATGAGAATCCTTTGGTCTCAGCCTCACATTTATAAAGGCCCTCAAATTTCTAATTTTGTAGTTAAAAAAATTCCTGTCGGTTCTTGTAAATAGTACTATATGGCTATGTTATTTGTACCAAGTTTTTATTTGTTAAATGTTTAAATATACCAAGCATTCTCAAAACCATCTTAGCATTTCTTAGTTGTTGTTGTTGTTGTTGTTGTTGTTGTTGTTGTTGTTGTTGTTATTTAGACCGAGTCCGGCTCCATCACGCAGGCTGGAGTGCAGTGGCACAATGTCAGCTCATCTGCAACCTCCACCTCCTGGGTTCAAGCGATTCTCCTGCCTCAGCCTCCTGAGTAGCTGGGATTACAGGTGCCCGCCACCATGCCTGGCTAATTTTTGTATTTTTAGTAAAGATGGGGTTTCACCATGTTGGCTAGGCTGGTCTCAAACTCCTGACCTCAGGTGACCGCCTGACTCGGCCTCCCAAAGTGTTGGGATTACAGGCATGAGCCACTGGACCCAGCCTTAATTTTTTAATATACCAGAGGCTTAAAAAATGGACATGATTTGAAGTTACACTCAAATTTCTGAGGGGTGTCCCCACCCTACATAAAAAATTGAACTGCGGCTGGGTATGGTGGCTCCCACCTGTAATCCCAGCACTTTGGGAGGCCAAGGTGGATGGATCACCTGAGGTCAAGAGATTGAAACCATCCTGGCCAACATGGTGAAACCCCATCTCTACTAAAAATACAAAAATTGGCTGGGCGTGGTGGCGCGTGCCTGTAGTGCAAGCTACTTGGGAGGCTGTGCCAGGAGAATCACTTGAACCCAGGAGGCGGAGGTTGCAGTAAGCCATGATCGCACCACTGCACAAAAAAAAATTGAACTGCATCTTATTCTCTTTCAAAGCACAAGGAAGCCAGCTCCCAAAACCATATATAGGCCCTCGGTTCCCTCTCTCCCTTCAAATATAGAAATTTTGTTGGTGGTGTTTTTGTTTTGTTTTGTTTTGTTTTTAAGACAGGGTCTCACTCTGTTACTCAAACTGAGTGCTGTGGCAAAATCATGGCTCACTGCAGCCTGAACTTCCTAAGCTCAAGCAATTCTGCTGCCTCAGCCTCCTGAGTAGCTGTAACTACAGACATCTACCACCATGCCTGGTCAATTTTTGATTATTTGTAGAGAAGGGGTCTTACTATGTTTCCCAGGCTAGTCTCGAACTTCTGGACTCAACTGATCCTTCCACCTCAGCCTCCCAAAGTGCTGAGATTACAGGAATGAGCCACTATGCCTGGCTGCAAGCAAAAGTTTTTAAAAGCTGTCTGTATTCCTTCACTAGTCATTTCTTTTCTTTTTTTTTTTTTTTTTTTTGAGATGGAGTCTTGCTCTGTCACGTATGCTGGAGTGCAGTGGCGCGATCTCAGCTCACTGCAACCTCCACTTCCTG